TCTATGTATTTAAAGAAAGATTGTGTTAAAAATTTGACAAATCTAATGCTCTTTAGAGAATCATCATTATTATGATGATTTTGCAAAGAGATATTGACAAATAAAAATAAAAAAATAAACCTTAAAAATCATCATACTTATACAATTCATCAGTTATTATTTAAAATTGAACTCAGAGTTCAAAATCAATGAATCTAACATTCTTATTTTGTTATATTTAAACCTGATAATTAAAAGCTTGAAAGTATAACTTTTTTAGCATTAGAACAGTTGAATTAAAATTTAAAGTATGCACAAAAAATATTTGCAAGTAGTTTCAATGAGAAGTAAAATTTATCCTATTTAGGCAAAGAACAATGAAAAAAGTAGATAAACTAGTTTCATACTGGATTCTTATGTAACTATTTTTATCTGTTCTTTGTTTAAAGATGATAAATTTGAATTTTTATAAAAACTACTTGCAAATATTTCATTAGTTTTTAAATTAAATATATTAACATAAAAAATTACTTTCAGGTTTGAATTAAAAGTTTGATGTGCTTTGCCATATTCAAACCTTATAAAAGAATTGTCGAATTGCTATGGTTTCTTAAATTCAGAACTATAAGATAAATTGTGAATTTGATGTGAATTTAACGTGTTTATAGTCCCAAAGATTCCTTACAGATATTCTTTTGATATCATTTTTTTTAAATTTAAGATAATAGCTTTTAAAAAGCTGTTTTATTTTTTAAATTCAACTGATTATAATTCAGCTGAATTGTGTTTATGGTTGTATTTTAAACAAGTATATTGGTATTGAAAGTAGTAATAAACACTTTTGCTTGCTACAATTAAGCTTCTTCAGAATGTTTAGAGAGAACAATGGAATTCAATTACAGTCGACCCCCCCCATAACACGGTAGATACGTTCCGGTTTTTGTGAATCCATTTTCTACGAGTCCAGCCAATCACAGCCCAGCATGTATGCAGTTTACAGACTATGGCTGTTTGAAAGGTTTCTTCCATAAAATTAATCGATTCTAGACTAATTCGACTCAACATTTCCAAAATACGTATAATTTTTTGGGAATAATCCATATAAACTATGCTATAAACAAAAAATTGTAGGATTACTTAACGAGCATGCACCGTTCGACTACGCCATTGCTTAAGCTTGTTTTTGTCATGGAGCTTGTCATCGAATGGCGCTCGCGTGTTTCCTGATAAATTATTTTTTTGTGAAAAATTCACTGAACTTTAGAGACATCATTAATATAAATATAATTTTTATGGGCGTTAAATAATAAATGGTTTTTAGTAGGTCTGCTGCTCGTTTAAACTCAACAGTTTGTACAGTATCCGCTATTGGTCTAGATTCAACCAATCCTGTTGTGACACAAGTCGGTGATAACGTTTTACTGAATTATAGGAGTATTTTTAGCATATTTGTACGAATACTGTCACAATTTTTTCACCGTGATATAGGAACCGAACTATAGGAGCCTGTGTTATAAGGGGGTTGACTGTATATAGAACAGAGTTTAAAGTCTGTTTTATGTAATCAAATTTTGTTTTTCTCTCTAAACATTCTGAAGAAGCTTGATTGTAACAAGCAAAACTACTTACACAAATTCAAAACAAAATGTTTAATATGTGAAACTAATTTATAACACTTATTAACCAAAATTTAAAATACAACCGTAATTTACTGCATTAATTAATTTAAAGGTGTTACTATATAAAATGTCTTGAGTTATAGAGCAGCAGCCCAATTTACGAAAATTAATGCAGGAGTAGAAAACAAACACAAAAATTTTTCATTTTGATAGCACAGAAAGAGCTGAGAAAATTGAATTAAAAAATTAAATTTTCTATTGTTGTATACAGAAAGAGTTTATAATCAATAGAAAACTAGGATGGTTTTGATATAATCAACATGGCAGACATGTAAAACTATATGAATTATTTATCATTTAAAATAAAGCTTAAATGTATCACTATATTAGAAAAGTTTCTGGATACTCTTGAAGAATGCATTAAAGAGAAGAAATTCAGTGAGAGCGAGCCTATGGTGAATAATTTGCTATTATTTGTATCAGCATTTATTTGGAATTCTGGGTTATATTCAGTAATGCAGAATACTAAGTCTGAATTGTGAGCAGCTTAGTGTGCAGAACTAAGAATGTTCTGAGCATCATCGAATGATTATTCTTTGTCAGACAGCTAAGAAAAAATGGCAAAGTTAAAAATTATGGTTGCAACAGTTGTCACAAATGAATTATGCAAGTGGATGAAAAATGAACTTATTTAATCTGGCATGAGTGTGAAGTTAGTCATAAGTGTGAAATTATTCAAAGAAAAACCAAATAGAGGCAGAGTGATAATCACTAAGCATAGTAAGTCTACTAAAAGTAGTCTGAGTAAATGAGTAACAATTCTTATTCATATGAGTGGAAATTACTAAGAATATAGTCCAATTTCATGGCAAAGCCTGACTAAGTCAAAATTCTACATTATTGTACACAGTCCTGATTTCATTTCAATAGTACCAATAGTAGATGATCACAATTCTGTTTATTAAAAGAGAAATATTGTGTTTTAGGAAAATGCAATTTGGGTGTAAGCATAGATTTTGTTTTTTGTTGGAATTTTTCCACAGGTGAGACCTAAGAAAGTTCAAAAACAGAAAATAGAAAGTAACGTACAAAAATGCTGTTCTTAGTTGATAAGTACAGATTATGATGATTAACTTTTTTGAATGATGCATTCACATGGAATGGGTTCTGTAAATTAGATGAATGTTCATCAATCAAAATTTTAAAGTTAATTCAAATGAAATTCTTAACTGTAAATATCATTTACAGAATATTTTTGAATGATGATTGTATGAATACTCTGAAGACTGCTGTTAATAGGTTCAACATCTCACAAGAATTGCATGTGATACAAAAATAAATACACAAAGAACAACATAAAATCCAGATGAAATAAAGTTTATTGAAATAAATGAATGTTTTTGACAATCTTCAACTGTCATCATCAGGTTAATGTGAAAAAGAATATGGAAGATAAAACATACAATGTAATTTTAAAAATGGACTTCTGTTCTGTTTGTTAGAATAAATTGTCATTGTCACATGTGATGTCATCTTTTATAGAAAAAAGGCTGAGTAAACAGTCTTTGATACAATTCAAATATCAAATTAAAGCTCTTATTCAATAAATGATGCCACTTAAGAGATTTAATGGTTCAGGTGTGGCAAAGGTATGATGTTATGTCTGTGGGACAAACATGTTGTGATCCCACATTCGTTAACTTTAGCCCAAGCAATTTTTTTTTGTTTTGCAGTTTCATTATTATAAATACTGAGGTCAGTAAATGTACATTTTATTAATAGTTTCTAAGACCATTGTTTTATCACCCTCTTCCAACTCAACCTCATCAATCCCCCACTCTTAGAAGCCCAAGAAATGCCAAATACATGCAGTTAGTTATTATTTACTTTGAATTGATTTAGATAAATAATAAGCACTTCTGAAATGCAATGAGATTATCATGATAAAAACTGAAATGCTAAGTCTATATTTGAGGTTTTTAAATTTAAGTAGATAACTGGGAATTGTGAATATATAATAATTTATATGTATCAACTTCCTGAATCCTGACATTGATACTAAGCCAAATGATTGCCGTAATTAATTGGGCCATTAATATGCTATAATTAATAATTAGAAACTAAGTAATTTGGTACTAGTCTCGTTCCGGGCTAGTTTTCTTTTTTCTTCAAAAATGTTCTAAATTATTTAATAAATTAATTATAATTATTAATTTAGATAAAGAGATGGTGCTTAACTTTTACCTCTAGTACCAAATTACTTAGTTTCTAATTACTAATTATAGCATATTAATAGCCTGATTAATTATGACGATTGGTTGGCTTAATATAATATTTTATTTTACTAGATTAAAAGTGTCTTGGAAAATAATGAAAAGTAAACATTTTCATTGGCTATATTTCTTGGTAATAAAGCTACTTTAAGCAGCTTTTGGATAGTACAGTCATCTAAGTTGGCCATTGTGGCACTAGTTCAATGATGTTCAGAAACACTGAAAACAAAATTTAAGATGGCTGCTAAAACTTTTAACTAAGAGATACAGATACCAGTTGCTTCCTATCAAACTTACAACATTAATTATAATTCTGTGTTGTCTTAGACTAAATATTTTTATTTATATGAAAATATTTTACAAAGAAAGCAGCAGTAGGAAATTATTTAAAGGGAGTTTATAACAGTTTAATCATGTAATGCACACAATAATTGACATAGACTGAACAGTTTATATCTACATTTTTCAGTTTCAAATTCAGAAATGATTAATATTTCAGAAAAAAAATGGTCATTGTCATAAAAAAAAATCAAGTATGCTTGCATTCATTTAACCATGTACAAAGATATTTTCCTGCAACAATGAAAATGGATAACAATGACCAGGTATGACATTGATGTCATTCCTGGGAATTAAGTTTTGCTGTAATTAAATATAATAAAATTTTGTGAAAAATTTATTTTTCGTATGATATAGTAAATCTGAATACATGCTACAGTTAATATTTATCTGATAACTTTGCAGTTTATTCATAAAAATTTAATACAGCATTCAAATATAGCTAAATTCCTTTGCAATCCATCCCAGATGTTAGCTAATTATTGTTCAAGAAAGTTTAATAGCTTTATCTAAAAATCATTTCACCTTCTCCAAAATAGAATTTACTTTTTTTTTTTAATTTGAAATTGAAAAGGTGTAGTATTCAAAATTTTATCTTAAAATTTTATATGAATTTCTTGTAATTTAATAGTAAATATAACAATAATAATATACTAAGAGTATTTACACTGATGTATATTTTTGTTTTTAATTACAAATATTTTTTAAAATGAAGTTAAGTAGAAATAATGTAAACTTGTAATTGAAAATCATGTCTAAACTTATATAATTTTTGAATTTTATTTTTTAGTTTGCTGGTCTAGACGTGAACTCCACCATTCAGAGTGGAGAAAAAGCTGGTAAGTTTTTATTTGTTTATAAATATAATTAACTTGTCCTTATAATAAAAAATTAACATTACTAAGTTAGTTGAAAATTTTATTTTACTGAAAACTCATATGTGCATATGCTACAATGGATGCAGTCCAGAGGAAGAGTTTTTGGATTTTATTAAATTTTTATTTTAAGTTTTGATATATTTGGAATATCATACTTTTCTAGCTGTGATCTATAAAAAGTGTTTAAAAAAAGCTTTTAACTTTTGGATAATAAGCTAAAATTCAACAAAATAATTGTTTTTACCATCATAATCACTGTTAAAAGTGTGAAAAATTGTTTTTCTCGTAAAGCTTCCAAAAAGTTTTAAAACAAAAATGTTTTGATCTCTTAAAAGAAGCTGAGTTATGAACAATGATATTTTAGAAAAGGATTAAGAGAAAACTGTTTTAATTAAATATCTTTGAAATGAATTGTTTAATAGATAGGTTGCGGCTGACATTTTCATCACGACAACGTGTACGTCGGACATTCAGCATCGTCTTCCTGCAAGTGTAGAAGTTTGATAATGGCATTTGGAATGTCAAGCATAATTCCACTGACGTTCCAAATGCCATTATCAAACTTCTAGGCTTACAGGAAGATGGTGCATAACGTCCAACGTACACGTTATTGTAGTGAAAACGTCAGCTGCAACTTCTCTCTTTTTTCTTTTCTAAGTTATATTTGAGAGTAATACTTGAATTATTAAATGTCATTGCAAATTGCATTATTTTATTGTTGATGTATTGTAGCAAATAAAGTACAATCCGAATTTGTGTGGATTATGTGATAAGCCCTTGCAGAACATTCAGACACAATAATCTGGTAATATTAATAATCTTAAAAATATACCTTGGTTAATTGACTGTTGATGCATTAAGTATTGTTAACAGATTTTGGCTATATTTCTGAAATGTCAAATTCATATGAGTCTAGCCATTGATGAGCATTTAGTTTAAGCTTCTTTTTAACATTTAAAAATTAATTCAAGATGGCTTTATGATACAGCATTAAAACATAGTTAGTTATTATATATGCAGAAGAACATGAAAATAAATTCTCAGAATATTAGCATTTTGTGACATTTGTCTTGTTCTTTTAACTTGTTACTTAATCACAGAATAAAATTGATTAGTCAAAATATTTCTTTCCATAACAACAAAAATTGCATCTCAGAATTAAAGAAATATGGCATAGCCTTATGTACTGTACAGCAAGTCTTCAATGGTGTTTCATTATAATGGTATTGAAGAAAGTAAAAGTATATTTGTATTCAATTACAATTATCTTTGTTGAATTTTCTTTATAAACAGTAAAACTGATTCTATGAATTGGGAAATAAATGCTAGAGGTTGCAAATGTAATTGAATTAGAATAATACTTACTGAATTATATTTTATTTATATCAATTAATCTATGGTAAAATTGGTTTCATTGTTATTTTGCTTGATGTCACAGTTCCAAGAAACTTTGAACAATGTTCAGTGAGAACTTCACACACACACACACACACACACACACACACAAAAACACACAGAGTCAAACTTCTCATGAGAAAGTTGCTAAATCCTGAAAAAAAATTGCTGTAGGGAAATTTCATTAAACAGAAATTACACTTTTTGGTAAATAAAGTATTATTTTAACATAATTTTTATGTTATTTTATGTAATTTAAATTAATACAGTAGAGCATTGATTATCTGAATATCAATCACCTGAAACATCAGTTAACCAAAAGCATTCCAGTCAGCAAATGTAATTTTCGCTAGTGCTGTGGCACTGAAATATTTGGCTGTCTTGGGCTACTTCAATATTATTTTTGTTGGTGTGCATGTTCTAGCTGGCAGGACTGGCATGACCGTGAGAGGGTACTTAAGGACGCGCCAGGATTTGAACAAATTTCAACATGGGATAGATTAATATATTTTTTTGTACATAATCAGTTATCCGAAAAATTGATAATTCGAACAATCCTAGTCCCAAATTGTTTCAGATAATCGATTCTTGACTGTATAAATGTAATATATAGTAATGGTGTAATATAAACGTTTTAATTTTAAATAAGTTTACATTTATGTGTTAAAATACTTAGAATTTAGTTTAACTAAATTTTCGTAAAAAAAGGTATTTTTTTGTTGCACAGAACAATTAAAAAAATGTTCTCTTTGTAATATTCTTCACTTATTAAGATCACTAATTAAAACCAATTCATCTATATTGATGTAAATGCAGGTTCTAGCATGTTTTGCTATAGGTCTCTCATCATTGACTAACTTTAAAATTGATTTGTTATTGTGGTCAATAAGCCATTCAGGAATTCCAAACTTTGCTATAATGTCTTTCTTTTTTGAGCTCTTATCAACTTCCTTCAATGCATTAATTTTTTTAGTAATGCTTAAACACTATATTAATAGTTCTTCAAATTTCAACTGGACAACTTATTAAAGAACTAAAGGGGTTAAATAAAATAAAATCTCACTAACCTCAAAAATTAGTCCAGCGGTTGTCTAAATTATCACCTTTCTAATGTTTTTGACATTTGTTAATTGTAAATCATTTATCTGTCACTGACGACACTTGGATCTAATCTCTCTCCCTTTTTTACAACTGGTAGCCACTTGGAGGCAGATTACATGATGGTTTTAAAAGCTAATGACCAGTAGTTCTCACACCTAGACAGCAGTTTTACAAAGAGTTTACAGATTGATATTTGAAATTGAACCTAAACTCAAACTTGTACCAGATGGAGTAATTGACTTTTAATGATTGATGATCCTTACAAATTAAAAAAATTCATTATATAAAATTATAACTTTTTGTTTTGTTATTTAGAAGCAATTTTACATATATTTTTGGCTGAAAAAGCAGTGTCTAATGCAAATATTTGTTATATGGAGAGATTTGCTATATAGAAGTTCATAATATGGAAGTTTGACTGTATATATATATATATATATATATATAACTACCATATCAGTTTTGCTTTTGTTTTAGTTATTCTGAGTGACATATAAAAAAATTTATTGATTTATCAAAAACATTAAAGTAATTTTTTTATTACATAGGAGTATATAAACCTCCTCACCTTCGTAATCGTAGCAACCAAGGAAGTGGATCTCAAACCACTAGTGATTGGAGTTCACAAACTAATCGTGTAAGTGAAAGAGATAGTCGTGAACCAACTGATTGGGACCGAAACCGATATTCAGATAAAGGTGATCGATACAGAGGTAAAGAAATTTAAGAAAATCCTTTTTTTTTTTTTTTTTTAGTAACAAATTTTTCAAATAACAGTTTTTATACATCTTTAAATAGATCTTAAAATTGTTTTAAAAATCATAACATTTGATCCTTTGTGCTTTATAATAAAATATATATTTTTTCAATTAATTACCAGTATCATTTGGTATTATTGTTACTTAATGTAGATATAATTGTTCTTCAGTGAGTTGTTCTTTCATGTTTATAGAACATGCTATTTATTAATGACTATCTGATGCATTTTGTAATCTAAAAGTTTTATTTAGTTTTCTAAATTCTTTTTCACATATCACGTCTGAAAGTTTGGGCATAGAAAGAGAGAGAATAACAAATTATCTCATCTGTGTATAGTGATTGATTAGTAAGTCACAACAAATCTTTATAATTGACTTTTACAACTGTTAGAACTTAGATTAAAATTCCAATTTTGTCACTTGAATGACACAAGATTTTCAATCAAGCCTTTTATAAGGATTGAGTTTCACAAAATTAAACTAATCTGGGTGAATTTTTCTGAACTTTGATTCATTTGAATTTAGGTTATTAGTTTCTAGTTTTTTGGGAAGATGTCTGACTTGTTATCATTATCTGGTGAGAAAATCTTGATAACAACAGATATCATCATCATCTGTAAGGATGTTAGGGTTAAGTAAAAGTTACAGAATTTAGAGTAAAACAATTAATAAAATATAGCAAAATATATCAGTACTAGTAGCCTGGGACGCCCCCTAGTGGGCGTTCCAGCAGCATTACAAATTCCTGAGGCTCATGAGTTTCATTTTGCAAGCCTCCAAGTGTTGATTGTGCTATTCTCTGTAATGTTTCCTGCGCACGTCTCTCCCTTTGTCTCGCAGCTGTGGCAGCTTTACGTTCCTCCACAGTGGCGTATTTCTTTGGTCGTGCCATGAAAGGTTTCTATTATTATATTAAAAAATTAGCTTAACTATTTCAAACCTTATCGTTTTATTGTAGCGGTTCAAATCTATCCGGTTTTTCGTTATTCGCCCCCTAGTGAACATTACAGGCATTCCGTTACAATAATAAATTCCTATTACAAATATAATGAATTATTTAAATTGTTATATTGATCAAATAATAATTTACTGGCCAAATGAATAATAATAATTTATATTGTTAATTTAAATAATAATTAAAATTGTTAATTTAATTTGAATGTTTGAAATATGACACACAATAGGGGTGCCTCTAGTGTCCGTTATCAAACAGTTACCGGACGGACGGATGGAAGGAAGGACGGATACATGTTGAATGGGTTATATATATAGATTAGATCCATTAAGAATTTCCAATCATACTATATAGTTTTAAAATCTTTTTGGTTTCTAATTTTAGATTGAAAGAAAAGAAATATAACATTATGTCTCTCTTTGCAACACAAAAAAATTTTAAATTATTTTTTGTGTGTAACACTAATTGATCTAGAAATGAAGATTGGACAGAGATCTGAATAGCATAACAGGCAATACATCTGCACAGTAAGCAGGAATTGTTGAGGACCTGCCAGAGCAGGAGTTTGAATCTCACTCTGGACTGATCTTTTCTTCCAGATTATTTTAAATTAATTTTTCTAATTATTAAGTTCAAGAAGGTGGCTTAACTACCTACCTCTACTCTTACTTAATAACTATTTAGCTTTAAGTAGCCTGATAAAGAATCCTGCTATTTGTTTGATATATAAACTTAATTAAATATACTGTAAGACAGTGTTTCTCAGCCTGTGTGCAATGACAAACAAATGTATAGTGAAAATGCCTCAGGTGTGTTGTGGAAATATTAAATATTTTTAAAAATATTGAATAAACTCTTTTTTAAAACTCTATCTTTCATCTTTTTACTGCCTGCTGAAGGAAGAAGGACGTATTCATTAAAATGCCAATTGTTGCAAAATTTGCAGTGTCAGCATACCCCTCACAAAAGTTCCCTGTGTGTATGCATATGCCAATGTACCAACTCTTTGGAGCTTCTATAAATGTTGCAGCTTGCCAGCTTAAAGATTGATGCATTGATTAAAATAGCCTTTTTATTTTTATGCTATATTTGTGAGTTTGTCTTGATAAGTATAATTTCTGTATTTTCAAAATGGTTTTGTTTGATTTATTTGGTTACGGCAATGCAACACATGGCAAAATGCCTCCCAGGGGACCTCTATGGGAAAATAGCCCTATTTAGGTATTACAAATGTGAAGAAAACCTGGAAAAGTACATGGCCACCCAACCCAGTGGTAAGATGAGAACCCTTGATCCAACTACCAGTGTTCAGTGGTTTTATCCACTTTTTAAAGATGAAATGCACTAGTGTGTCATTGTTTGAAAACTTGATTTTTCTTGCCAGGCAGTTTGGAAGATAGAGGTTCAGAAGCTCAGGCATAATGGGGAATGTTCAGGGAGGGGAAGAAAACACTGTCAGAACCAGTTGCTTCAATGACATTTTCAAAAAGAGAATTCAGTGAAAATCAAGAGTTTCTCTGAGAAAAATTGCAAAAGAAGGTATTCATTGAAAAACTGCACATCTTATAGCTAAAAAGGATCTTTAACTGACTTTATAGAAGCTGAAAAAGAAAACAATATCTTGGAATATGGAAATATGCTGGCAAATATTTTTTTCACTGATAAAATTTTCACAATTGAGATCATGCCCAATCTCCCAAAAAAAAAAAAAAAAAACATGAAATGGCCTCATAAATGTTCGATATTATTTGATGTGTGGAGGAATTTGCTCATCAGACAAACCTGATGTTTTTTTATCTGAAGGGCTCAGTCAAGTTACTGTATGGACTGGAGAGATACTTTGGAAACTGTTGTCATGCCTGTGCTCAGGAACATTTGGAGATTCCTGCAAGATTTGTTGCTTGCTTACCAGGAAAGATTGACACAGCAGAAAATTTTCCTGATTTTACCAGTATCAAAGAATGGTCATTGTACTCACCCAACCCAAACCCAATGGCTGATCCTGTGCAAAGCCCCACAGGAATTAGCAGCTGCTAAAGCAGCCTTCTGTAACTGAATGGGACATATGCATTACAGCTCATCAATTATAAACAGGGGTGGATCTAGGTTTTTCGGGGCCTAGGACTTATTGAAGTCCAATGGGACCCCATGTTTGTTAATACAAATAATACTATAAATTATCATTATTATTATATTATTAATATTAATTATATTTTACTATACGATAAATGCTCATTGTTAATGAAAAAGTATTAAAAATTTATGATGATACAATTTTTATGGGCCCTTGACACTTGGGGGGCCCAGGGCTTAAGCCCTATTAGTCCCTATGTAGATCTGCTATTCTGACTATAAATAACACTTTCCCATAAAATTTGGCACTACGTATTGGGACCAAGGGAGGAAGGACATTTTGAAAGTTGGTAGTCTAATTAGATATGTTGGTCATGCTGCAGGTTACTAGTTTTAATGTTGATTACTATGAAATAATAAATTAGTCCTTCTCTATAATTTATTGTTACCTTGAAATTTAGACTAAAGTAGGTAATACTTTTACTTCATAATAAATCAAATAATTATGAATAATTTATTGTTAATAAATTATTTTATAATACAAACTACTAATATGTTATAGAAAGTTAAATTATTCTAACTTTTTGTATTTATTACAGAATGAAAGTTTCATCAACTACTTCTAGTTCCAAATTATATTAATTTGTTTAAAAATTATAGAATTATAGCCCAAAACATCAATATTGGCTTGATTATACTTTGGGTTATCGGTTGTTTATGTTTTAGTGAATACAGTTAAATAAGAAATGATAAAATTTTAATTTTTTTCCCCTTACAGTATCATTGAAATTGATTGATCTTAAAACTTTTGTTTACGATTCTTTAAGGATCATTCTTTGAAGCTTTATGAAATATTTTCTGAACACATCTACCTGTTTTCATATAAAATTGCACTGAAAAATTAATTATAGTAATTTAGTAAATTGTATATTAAACATCAATATAACGAAGAATATGAGTTTTATAAGAATTCTTTTTATATTACGTTCAAATTAATGATGCTGCGATATTCAGTTCTTTATTTAATAGAAAAATAAAAAGTATTTTTAAAGATAAATTTGCTTTTTAGATCCTTACAATAGAGAATCGTCTGGAAGGACTGATAGTTATAATAGAAGCTATCCAAGCCGAAATGATTCAAGTAGTCGAAATTACAGTGACTATGAAGATTTTAAAAATGTAAATAATTGGGAAGGTAAGTTAAAATTTGTGATAATGCCATTGTTTCTTTTTTTATTTGACTTATTTTGAAGAATAGCTTGATTATTAAATATAATGCAGGTATTACAAATTGCATATTTTTGTAATTTATTGTAAATTTATAGTAAAAAATTTGTAGAAATAATGAAGACTGNAATTTCTATAATTTCTGCAGTTAATGTAAAAATAATGTCCCTATACATAATATATACAGTCAATAACAGTTTCTTTTAATAAATTTGTGTATTAATAAAATTTAATAATGCATCATCATTGTCATCATCATCATATTGTCATTCCATTAAATCTAATGACAAATAATAAATAATTTTATAAATTTTATTAAATATTGAATATTAATTTTGAATCATTCACTAAATATGAAATTTTCATAGTTTCAGAACTGTCAAGATAAACCAGTGTCTCCCAACCTGTATGCTGTCGGAATGCCTCAGGTGTGTTGTGGAAATATTAAATATATTTTTTATTTTCAATTATTTTATGTATTTAGTACAAGGAAATCCTGTATGTACGGGCGTATAACAAAAAAACATTACAATCACTAATATCGATTCCAACACAAAATACAATAATGTTAATAATATAGTGCAGAATAATAAACCTGTTAAAGAACAATACTGTGATAATAACAATAATAATAAATAATACCAACAACATTAATAATCTTAACCAAAAAAAAATGTAAAATATACACAAGTGACAGTGAATAGTTGACGCAAACTAAAGTTCTAAAAATTTTTTTATATAAGAGATTAAACAATTATATTACCTGAAAAAACTTAAAAATAAATGCAAATTTTCTGACTTGCATTTTTTTCTATTAAGTATTTAGTAACTTGTTTGTTTATAAATTTTTGTAGTGGTTGTGTTGTTTAAATATATTTATATATTGAATGCATTTCATAATTTGACTTTTGAAATTGGTATTTCTATGAATATTTTGTGCTACATTTTTTTTATTTTTTTATTTAAGCATATTGGATAACTCCATGATGTGGGAAGAGAAAAACAAACTCTTATAAATACAAAAATCTTGGTATTAAATACAATTAACATAAACATTATACAATTAGAACAAGATAACATGAATTGAATCAAAATTAAATTAAATTAAATTTGGGAGCATCTGCCAGTATAAATAAAAACAACAAATATGTAATTATAATAATTCTTACCTATAAAAGACAAAATATTAGTAACAAAGCCACCAATTAACAGATGCTCCCCATTTTGTGTTACGTGTTATTAAACATCATATTTTGTAAAATATAAAAATTGCTTCAAGCTATTTTCTTACTGATAATTTTCCATTTTTAAAGATAACAATCCACAAAATATAAATATTAATTGCTATAGGCAAGGATTGACTCTAAAGAAAGCTGATTTCATATAAATTAGAATTGTAGAAATGTTAGAGATATCATAATACTATAAGTTTTATCAGTTACAAAGATATTTTAAATTAGTAAAGATTACAATGAGTGCTATTAAATACCTTGTAATACATACAAATATGTAAATGCTGAATGTTTTCAGGCTGTGACTTAGGTAAACTTTTAATTAAACAAAATAATTTGGTCTAAAGGCAGAAAATTCTGGGAAAAAAGTGACTATGGAGATATTCCCAGTCAGCATAGTAAGGGTGGATGCACACATGCGGTGTAGCAGAATGATGTCAATGTTTTCGCCACAGAAGCTGATTTTCTGCTACTTTTCTCATGCCGCGAAAGTTGGTTGAATTTGATCTTTTGCAGTGGCTGCCATCAAAGACTCATTTCTATCAGCCAGTAACAGTTCGTTTCTCAGTCAACACAGAATTGTGTGTTGTTTTAATTCTGGATATGTCACACTGGGTCCATAACTTATTTCAACAGACAAAACAAATGAATCTTATTCAAAATATTCTTTATTGAGAGATCTTAATTGAGGAATGAGCGTATTTTGTACACCAGTTCTTTCTTGATCCAAGAAAATATCTCTAATCGACAAAATCTAAATATATAAAATTACTTGTCCTGACTGACTGACTGGTTGATTCATCAATTGCCCAGAGCAAACTGCTGAACCTAAAGAGGTGAAATTTGGTACACAGTTAGGATATGCCATTAGTATGTACACTAAGAAGGAATTTTTGGAAATTCCCCCGTGAGGGGAGAGGGAGAGCATTAAGGCTTAACCTGAAGAACGGCTTCTACTGTACTATTTTAGATGCAATTTTTTATTTTAAACTATGTTTAGTCTTCATTGAATACTTAGATATATTAAATTGATAACATTTCAGACATTGTTATAAATATTTTATATATTTTGAGTTTTTAACCAAATGTTCGAACAGTTTTAAATTTGAATTTGTTATTGCATATTGGTTCGATTATAGAATGATTGTAAACGTTACAGAAAATTGATCAAATTGAAAATAGTTCATTTGATTCTCAGCAATTTTCATCATTCTCAGTGGTAGGTGTTATAACAATAACTATGGTTGTTGAAATACTGAATATAAATGGGGTTTGCTTTCCAAATCTGTGTGGGTGAAGTCACAGGTAACAGCTAGTCTTTGATAAAATTTTCTAGCTAAATAAAGCAAGTCGTACAAAACAAAATTTGTAAACACATTGATAACAACAGTGTCAGTATCATTTGACATCTTGAATACTGTACACATGTGCCGAAATCTAAGCAGATTGCCACTTGTGTGGTTGCGCTGCCATGCTGCGAAGATGTGTTTTCAACTTTGCTTTTCATTGCAGCATTGCATGTGTGCATCCATCGTAATTCATTGTATGATTATATGATTCAAAATAGCAGGTTTGAAAGCAAAGATCTGTCAAAAACCTGGATGTAGATACGTTATCAGTTATATTTAACTGGTTATATAGCAGAAATTGCAGATTTGAATTCCACTCTGGATTGATTTTTTTTTCTTTCAGAACCTCTAAATTATTTACTTGAATTAATATTAATTTTAGAATTAAACACTATTAAACAAATTAATTAAACTTAATATTAGCTTATATTTTTAAATGAAATTATATAATTTATTAAAAGTTTATCTGAATTATAGTCTAAAAAAACTTTGCATTTGGATATTTTGTTATTAAATTTGGGTTATAGATACAAATATCTGTTGGGTAGATGTATTATCCTGTGCACAAAAGTTCTAGAGATTTTTCATCAAAAACATCTGAGTTGTATCTTCACATTGTCTGAATTACTGAACTACTACTACTGATAACTGTTCTGAAGGGATTGAGATAAATGGTAATCTGAAGACATGAGAACAGGAGGATGGCACAAAAAAATTGCATACAAATTCCAATAATTTTTTTCAAGTGGTCAAAAATGCATATGATCTAGCATTGTCATACTGGAAAACCACATATTTTCTTTCTAATTCTTGCTTTCTTTAATGGTTGCCTCCATATCAAGTTGGGTACAGTAATTCTCTGTATTAATCATCTGATTTTGAAGTAGCTATTCGTTATAGATTATTATTTTTTCTCCACAATCTTTTTTGCTTTTTGCAATTATCATCACAAATCTATTTTTTTATCACTAGTAATTAGTCACTTAAAAAGGATCTATCTAGTTATGTTTCAGCAGCAAATCACAGGTAGATATTTTGTATATCAGATTTCTCTTGCTCAATTGATGTGGTACCCAAGCATCATAACCTCCTAAGTTCCTAATTTGGTAAATGGCCAACAATCAATCCTTGAACAATAGATAACACTTCTTCAATTTCCCTGGTGTAATAATATGGTTCTCTAAAGCAAAGTAAAATTAACAACATAGTTTCATTGGAATTAAAATGGTTCTCTTCAATTATTGCAATAATTCAAGAGAACCATATTACAGCTGAATAGCTGAAGGTCTTTCAGAATGTGGTGCATCTTTTAGAGAGAGATTTCCTATATGGAACATCTTAAACCACTTTTGATATCTGTGGACATTGACAGTAGTTTTCCTATAGATGACAGATTTTTTGTGCAGTTGTAGTATTTTTCTTTTTATGAAAGTAGAAAAGCTTAAGATGATGAAAATGCAACTTAAGAGTCTTTATTTTTAAATACAAAAATTTGAATATAATAATGGAAATTAATAATTTAAATTTGTAATGTACAGTTCATTACAGAATATTACATTGAATCTGAAAAAACAATTGAATATAAACTACCATTAAATTAATACCAGAAAGAATTTGTAAAATTTGTTTTCTTTTGTAATGCTAGATATTATTTTAAGAATTTTAATTTAGGAGAATGAAAAAGAATATTAATAAATATATTTTATTAATTTAGGCAGTGACAAAGGAGGAAGAGCAGATTTCTCTAATTTTGGAGGAAGAAATCGGAAAGTTAGCTCTGATAGTTACATATCACGCAGGGGAGATAGGTTGGTATAACTTTTTAAATATTTATCTTTTATATAAATTTTAGAAAATATTCTAATGCAGTATAAACAACTTTATTCTAACATTTTCGATCATTTTAAATGATCGAAAACATTAGTATAAAGTTGTTTATACTGCATTGAAAGATTTTTGTCTGAATATTTTATTAAAGTTCAGTTTAGAATGGAGTAAATATTATTTGACTAATACCTGGACAACATAATAGAAAAATGGGTTATCTTATTTATATAAAAGTAATAGTCTTTTCTGACATTAAATATTTTTGATTCTGTATTATCCTATTAAAAATACAATAAATTTTTAAAGAAGTTTAGAAATTCACATATTGTTTTACCTTCACATGTTTGTCTGTTATACGTTATTGATTGAATAAAGAATTTGTAGAGAGAAGAAAAAGAAACATTTGGAGATGGTCACGTCAAAGGTGCTGTTTGCATATACTAATACTGTTATGTAAAGGTTTTGTTTTAGTTCAAGCAATTCTATAAATCTCAGGTGGTGGTAGACACAAAATTGATTTATTTCTTATTTTAAGTGTAATTAGATATTACGTTGTTATAAAATTATCTAGACTCAACTGCAATAACAATGGAAGATATAAAAATTGCAATATTTACATTTTAAGAAAATTTTCATAAAAAATTAATAACATAGAAGTATATAAAACAATAATTATAAATGCAGAATGTTATTTTTTAGTGGCAATATTCATTTTAATTTGCCAAAGAAATTATTTTAAATTACTCTAGAAAAGAATTATTGCCAGTATTTCTAATTTTTAAAATAAGACTTAACTAATTTTGTCATATTTTAAATGCTATGAATTCATAGTTACTTAAAAACCAAAATCTAGGAAACAGTTTATTTGTAAACTATATGTAAAATATATATATTTAAACAGTATAATATTGCAGAAATCAATACTATATTGGATAAGAAATACATAAGAAAAAATATTTTCTTGAAACAAAATTTATTTATTATTTTACTTGAAATTTACTAAAATGCAGTCTGCTCTTATACACAATTAATAATTTGTGTAAACAATTTTTTAGTGAACGTGATCGTAACTGGCGAGATCCCGATGCTCCAAAAGAGGCCCCGCGGGATAGCTGGCGCGACGATAATCATGGAAGTAGAAGTTCCTGGGATCGGCGAAATGGTGGTAGGCGTTCCGAGTATGACGACGATTGGAGCAGACCTCTCCCTGCAGATGACCGCTTAGAAAGGTTTACAGTTTTATTAAATTATATTACAGGAATTAATATTTTTGAAATATATTGAATTTTAAAATTATAGAGAGATTTTATAATTTCTATAAATTCTTAGTTTACATCATGTACATTTTATAGGCACTTATTTTCTCAAGGGCATACTGGTATAAATTTTGAAAAATATGAAGATATTCCAGTTGAAGCCAGTGGTGAAGAATGTCCTAATCATATCAATTCTGTAATTAAATAAAATTTTTTATGTCTTTCTATATATTTTTTTCATTTTGAATAAAACTTGAATTGTTTTTTTGAATGAATTCATATTATTTTACAGTTTGATGAATGCCCACTGACTGAAATAATTCGCATGAATATAGAATTAGCTCGATACGAGCATCCCACTCCAGTACAAAAATATGCCATCCCTATTATTTTAAGCAAGAGAGATTTGATGGCATGTGCTCAGACTGGTAAGAATTTATCATTACATTTAAAAAAATACTACGTAAAATAGGAATTGCTAAAAATTCAAACATTAAAATGTAAAAATATATATGAGAGTTTTTTCAATTTGAAGTGTTAATGTTAAATATCAAAAATTTGTTAATTATGGATAAATTTTAATTGAACCATAATTATCATGGAAAATGGTGGATATAACAAATCTAAATGTCATGTAAATGTAGTTTTTTGTTTTAATAATTAAAATAGAGTATGTTGGTGAGTATTAAATATGCTTTCTTTATTCATTTAATCATTATTAGAACGACTTCAACAAAAATTATTTAATGATAATCTTATGCATGTATTGCAGATAGATGTTAAATTCCTAAATATGTTTTTCTTTCTAAAACTAACCACATATATGTAGTAAATTTTATTTGCTGGATTGTTAAAGATGTTTTTTTTTTATCGTAAAACTAATCTTATTAGTCATCAGTTTATAACTGAAGATCATTAATATTTTCCATGAATGTATATATCTGTAAAATGTATGTATATTTGTATAATGTAGATATTAAAATTTTCTTTATTTCAGTTCAGTTTTATAAAAATTGGAATAGAATGAATAAATTATTTAATTGTTGAATCTGAGCATACAACATTATAATCATAAGTTATAAGCAGTCTTTCAATAATTAAAGTAATTTAAAAATAATTTTGTAAGACTTGCACCATTATTTTTTTAAAATAAAATAAATTTATGTACAACAATTGTAAAACTAAGTTATTTTTAAGATATAAATTTATATCTTAAATNTGAGAAAAGAATTTGAATATTTATAATAGATAAAACAATAATTAACAGTTCTTATAAAGGCTTAAAAATTTTATAATCATTATAAAATTTTTAAGCCTTTATAAGAACTGTTAATTATTGTTTTATCTATTATAAATATTCAAATTCTTTTGTCATTATAAAATATTTTCAGATTGATTATATTAAGAATTTTTATATTATCATTTATAGGTTCTGGGAAAACTGCTGCATTTCTGGTCCCTATTTTAAATCAAATTTTTGAAAATGGTCCACCTAGAAACATCCCACCGGTAATTATTAAATTGTTTATATATTTTGCTATATTAAGTAATAATTTATATAGACCAATATTACTTTTAATTATAATGGGTTTTGTTTTACACAGGATTGATATGTGGTTTTATGCTTTTTTGGTTGGCGATTAGGTTAATCCAGTGAATGCATGAGTAATTCTGGTTGTTAATGCATGTGTTGACTATTTATTCTGTGTTTTTGTGTGTGTGTGTGTATATACACATATATAATGAATATCATAATAAAAATAGTCAATGTGTATTGATAGTCAGAATTATTATGTATTCATCATCTAGTTTAAATAGTAACTCATTCTTAAAATATGTTTAAAACATTTTCCTTATACATAAGTAAAATGTTATAAACATACTTATTATGTTCAATAAACATGAAAAGTGTTGTTAGATTGAATTTGCTTTGCTTTTTACTCTTCCATTTATACATGAAATAACAATTTTGTAAAGTCATTTTATAAGGTATATAATGACATTTGATAAAATTATCTGCACACAGCCAGAATTTAGACTACTAGTTTTATATTTACAAAGGCTCACAATAAACATAATAGGCTGTCTTCTATAATAAACTTAACTTTAATAATAATAAAATAAAATATTTAATTTTAAATAATTTTTAATTATTTAAAATTGATTTCTACTTATTAAATTTATTATGATGAAACCCACTTTAAATCTGAAATTTCTTATTAATGTGCTTATTATTTTAATTATTATAAGTTTAAATATAGTCCGTAAATTCCAGCCATATGATTTGCATATAATTTGGGCTGTGGTGTGTATTTGCTACATATTAATATTTGTGTTTTACCCTTCTTTTTTTATAATGAAATATTTTTGTCATTTCAGCCACAGCGCCATTCATCACGTTTGAAACAGTATCCATTAGCTCTTGTACTTTCTCCTACAAGAGAACTCGCTTCACAGATACATGATGAAGCTTGTAAATTTGCATATCGATCACGTGTTCGTCCTTGTGTCGTGTATGGTGGCGCAGATCCCGTTCAACAAATGAAAGATCTCGATCGTGGTTGTCATTTACTTGTTGCTACACCAGGGCGTTTGGTCGACATGATGGAACGGGGAAAAGTTAGTCTAAAGATGATCAAGTAAGTTTAATACATATCACATAAGTACAGTCGACCCCCCCCCCCTATAAGATACAGATACGTTCCAATTTATTAGGAATCCGATTTCTTACAAGTCGTTCCAATCACAGCCCGACACGTGTCAAGTTTACGGACTATGGCTGATTGAAAGGTTTTCTTCCATAAAATTAATCGATTCTACACTAATCCGACTCAACATTTCCAAAATACGTATATTTTTTCGTAGTTTTATAGGAATCGTAATTATAGGGGAGTCAACTGTAATAAATATCACAAAAGTGATATTTATTAATTCTTTTTTTTATGCTATTAACATTAATAAATATCACAAAAGTGATATTTATTAATGTTAATAGTTGTCATAAAGTTTATATTATTACAGAAATTATGTTATGGGAAATACAATAAATATGATTAATTTCAATCTAGTATTATAAAAATAATCTTGAAACTTTGTACCATATTTGTTGATGAGCAATTTTTATTGTAATAATGGCTATGTTGTCCATTGGTTAATATTACAAGAATTTTTTCAGGTGTTTGAATTTTTTAAATTTAGATTCAAATGGAATGTACAGTACTGTAAGAAAGATTTTAAAATGTTTCTTGTTGATGCTCAATGCATCAGTGGAAAACTATGCCTGGCTTTTATTGCAGCCTGCAAAAATATAAGTTAATTTTTCTGTTGTGAATTTTTAGTTATGAAAGTGTGTGTGTGTGTGTATTTTTTTAACCTCAATAAAGACATCTATCTAAATATGTGTATATTTTTTTTGAATGTGTACACTTTACCTTCTGATTAAAATTTACACCTTTAGCTTATTGGAAAATGGTGATTCTTTCCTTCAAGATACAAAATGATATCACAGAAAATAATTATAGAATTGAATTTTTTTTAAATATAAAGAAATATAATAAATTTTTAACAAAAATAAATATAACAAAAAATTTAATGCATAGTCAGAAGATATTAAAACATTATCATCAAGAATGATTAAACTATAAATATAATTTATTGTTTTAAGATGTTTTTAATGTATGAATTTGTTCATATAACGTAGATAGAATAAAATCAACAAAACATGAAATTATGTTAGCACTTACATGGATTTTACAAAATGACTATGCTTTGTGCTATTGAATGTATTAATCAATCTATAGAGGAATATACATTATATTATCTTTTTCTTTATTCCAGTTTAGTCACATTATTGTTCAACAAGTGTACATTAATGTATATACAGTGGAACCTCGGTATACGTCTGGTTTAGAATAAGTCCAATTCGGAATACGTCCTGTTTGGACGAAACAAATTTTGCTCGGTATACGACTTTTCTTCGGTATACGACTTAATTCAATTATAAGCGTCATCTATGAACAAGCAGCACTATCGGTGTACTAGACCAGATTAGACGTTCGCGGTGCCACGGTTTATAACTTTGTTAAATTTCTTCTAATTTTAATTTGTAAGTAACATTTTATTATTTTTATTAATCATGAATTGCAAAAGGCAACAGAAAAATAAAAAAAATGACAATGGAACTGAAAAAAGAGATTGTTGAGAAATATGAAGGTGGCACGCGTGTTCGAGATTTAACTGTTGCATTCTGTATTCCAAGAACGACGATATCGACAATCGTGAAAAATAAAGACATTATTAAATCTGCTAACGTTGCGAAAGGGGTTAAATCAATTTTCTAAACAGAGATCGAAGACATTAGATCATGTCGAGAAATTGCTTTTGCTTTGGATAACTGAAAAACAGTGCGCTGGCGACAGCGTATCGGAAGAAATTATTTGCGAGAAAGCTAAAGGGATACATGCTGATCTCGTGAAAAATAAGCAGGAACTAGCGAGGGAAGCGAGGTGTTTAAAGCCAGCCATTTTTTTTACATGAGAACGGATTAATCATTTTTACATTACTTTTTATGGGAAAGGTTGGTTTGGTATACGTCCTATTCGGTATAAGTCCAAACACCAGGAACGGATTAAGGTCGTATACCGAGGTTCCACTGTACAATGACAGTATTCTCCTGAATTTGTTTACTTGATAAAAGTGTTTAAAATGGTATCCTAAAAATGAATAAACATTCTGGTTGTAAGAATTCAAGTAGTAAACAAAAAAGAAAAGCTTTGAATATTGGGAAGAAACTTGAAATAATAAAATGTTTTGTAGTATTGCATAAGTTTTAAGTCCTGTCACTTGCAGGCATAAAATGCTTGATGCTACTATCACAGGAAGTCTATTGTTTTCCCATATAACAGAGCCTGTACACTCAACAAATATTTCCAGTAATGTATCAATTACAGATAATATCAATACAACTAAAATTGCAAAACGAATTCAAATGTTAAAATCGTGACAGTGGCTAGGTATGTGTATTTTGAAACCATAGTCTCTCTTGTACATGCAATTCTTTGGAACCTGTGTGGAACATAAGTGGAACTGTGTTTTTCGTTGTACTGTACCTGTTGTTTTTATTTTGGAAACATTTAATTAATATTAATAAGATTAATGCTAGAAGAAGATACTAGAATACAGGAGTTTAAAATTGACATAATCAAATATTTAAAAGTTTCATTTGAGCTAATTAATTGAAAAGTAATTATTAATATATTAAATATAAGAACTGAAGCATGGAAGGCAACAAGGAACCACCATGCATCTGTATCTCCCCAAGATTTGATGGACAGGTGATTCAGAAATAATCCATTTATCAGAGGAATGAATAGGATACCTGTACAGTTGGCTACCAAGGAGAGGTGCAGCAGATTTGTGCTGGAATTACAGGAAGTACACAGATTAAATGAGAGAAATGCTTTAAATGATGCTACAAGATCAAAGTCATTAGGACCTCTTGGAGTTGATACAGGGTTAAGAGGAGCAGAAATAAGAAACCAAATTGATTATATTCTAGTCAACTACAGATGTAGAAATACAGTAATTAACACGAAGACTTATCCAGGTGCGGATTGCAACAGTGATCATAGGCTACTGGTAACGAAACTAAGAATAAGGCTGAAATATGTTAGGCCAAAAAAAAGCAAAAGAATGGCTCAATATACAGGTGTTGAGGAAAGACTGCACCAAGAAGACTTTTCAGGCTGACATATTGAGAAGACTGCAAAATTTCAATACTGACAGAAGCACAGAATAAATCTGGAATGATTTGAAACAAAAAATTAAAGATACTGCAGTTCACGTTCTCGGCAAGAAAGGGAGACAAATAAAGAACCCTTGGGTCACAGAGGAGATAGTAAAAAAGATGGATGAAAGAAGACAATACAAAAATGCTAATAACACGGAAGAAAAAGAAAAATATAGAATCATTAATAAATAAGAGTAATGCGCAAACAGGCAAAGGAAAAGTGGTTGAATCAATTATGCATAGAAATGGAGCACCACACAAATGGGAATGACTTAAGAGGAGTACATGAAAAGCTAATGTTAATCTCAGGGGAAAAAAAAGAAAATGCAGAATTGGGGCTATGAGAGATGAAAATGGAAACATTTTATTGCAGAAAGATGAACAAGTATTAAGGTGGAAAAGATATGTAGACAATCTCTATAGAAATGAGGACAGTTTAAACCTAGAAGGCATGGAAGACAAAGAAGAGAGTGCAATCTTTCTTAAGGAAGAGATTGATGCTACATTGAAAAAACAAAGGGAAGAAAGGCATCAGGAATAGATGAAATACAAGAATGCCATAAGGCGGAAAGATGGAACAAGAATCCTAACTAATTTTTTTAACAATTTTAGAGGCAGATATTCCGGATGATTTCGCAAAATCTATCTTCATTACAATTCCTAAAACTGCAGGTAACTTAGACTGTGATAAACATGGAGCTATTAGCTTGAAAAGCTATATCTCAAAGGTTTTAGTTTACATCATGCAGTGCATAATAGAAAACTTCATAAATCGGGAACTAGATGAGTCACAATTTGATTTCCATATAGGCAAAGGAACAGCAGAGGCCATTACAATGATATGACTTACAGGAGAAAGGATGATTGATCATGATAGAGAGTTATTTGTATGTATTGTTGACTTCAAGAAGGCCTTTGATAATGTTAACCAAATGCTGTTATTTGATATTCTGCAAAACATAAAAAGAATTACTGAGAATAATCTATATCATCTATAAAAATCAAAAAGCAATGGTCAGTTTTCAGGGAGAGGATACCAAATGGATTAAGATTTAAAAAGGAACAAGACAGGGATGTGGTTTGTCCCCAACACTTTTTAACATCTACAGTGAATAGATGATGAGAGAAGCATTCAAAAATCTAGACAAAGGTGTAAAAATTAATGGACATCTTATCAATAACATTAAGTATGCTGATGACATTGCTCTGCTATGTAACACCTAGGAAGGGTTACAGAAAATTCTAAATAGATTGAAAGAAGTGGGAAAATCAAGATACCAAATGAAAATAAATGTGAAAAAAAACAAATTTTATCATAATCTGAAGAGAAGAAGACAGATCTAAAGATTATGTTGGATGGAAAGAAAATAGAAAAGGTAAAAATGTTTGAATACCTAGGAAGTTGGATAACTGAGGATAGCAGATGTAATTATAATTATGAAATTAACCTTTTTTTATTCTGTTTTTAAAGCTGCTTTTGCACAAATATCCCATTATTAAGAGATGGAAATATATACAAAAAATTGAAACTAAAAATACTTAAAACAATGATTTGCACTGTGGCTACATATGGATGTAAGTTGTAGACAATAAACCAAGAGGCAGTTAATAGGATAGATTCCTTTGAGATGTGGTATCTTACAAGAATGGAAAAAATTAGTGAGGAGGATTATGAGTAACCAGTGAGGAGGTTATGAGTAGATTTAAAATGGAAAGAAACCTGATGGTCAGCATCCAGAGAAAATCACCATATGCTGGCATATAATATGCTCAGCATATGCTGATTTTATATATCCTCAGGGAAACTGATGAAAATTGCAGTTTAAGGAATGGTGGAGGGCAGACAGAGAGGGAAGACTTTGGCTAAAGTGACAGGACAACAAAAAAATGGACCAGCTCAAGCTTGGGAAAAGCCTACAATCGTGAAGAGTGGAGAGGATGCCATGTAAATGAATGAATGAAAATTGAAAATTTTACAACTTGTAATAACAAATCATTTTTGCACAGGATTTTATAAAAATGTGCAATACAAGTAGTGAAACCATTGCTGTAATATTTATCCAATGAAAACATTCTCATATTTATGATGTCATTACAGATGATACAATCTTTATCTGCTCTTGCAGGTCTGTAGCAAAATATTCATTTTTTTAAAATTACAGACATTTTTACAGGAATGATACAAATTCCATAGCCACTACTGTAAACACAATTATAAGATTAATTTGAAAAAAATGGATATACTTTATTGATAACTATAGATTACAAGTTAACATTTAAGCATATAAATTGTCTTTTTTAATTGTAAACGGTTAGCATTTTTTAAAATTTTAATTAATTAGATTAATTGAAAGCTATTTGCTACATTCAAAAATGTTTATGGTAGAAAATTATAAAATGAATAATTTATTGCCGCAAGATGTTATATGTATTGGAACTGATAATCATAACAATATAAATCAGTTATCAATATTTTGATTTAATATCAAGAACTAAATTTCTGCTTAATTAAAATGGGAAAGTATTGTTGCTTTTTCTAATAGGAAAACACTGTTTTTTACATTAATTGATACTCTGAGAAAATTAGTATTATATAAATAATATACAGAATATATAGTGTATATATATGGGTATTGGGTATCCCTTGATTAACGCGGTTAATTAATTCCTTGATCTACCACATATATCAAATATTATGTTAATCAAATACAGTATCTATGTTAAGTAAAGATGGCCGGTAAAGAGTGTTAATTAAAACTTCTGCCATGTGTATAAAGGGATTGCCGCAATTAATTTTGCACGTTAATCATATCCTGCAAATGCAAGGGATACCTGTATGTATATATATATATATACAGGTATTCATGTAAAAAAAAAATATATATATATATATATATTTTTTACAAAGTTTGAAGTGAAATTCAGATTGTTTTTACTGTGGTTACTTAATTATTTGTTATAATTGTCTATAAAACATGTTTCATGTGTTGCTTTTCAATTAACAGAGATTATATAAACACAAACAATATTGTGATTGACATTAGAATATTTGACAGATTTAATTTTTAGTATCTGAAATTCACCTATTTATGAAAATATAAAATACTACTATATGAATATTTTATTTATAATAAAGTGTTTATAATTATGTGAAAAATATTAAAATTGACATTTGTAATTTCATTAGTTTTAAGATTGTTATTGAAATCTTAAATGAAACTACTGTATATACTTATTGATAATTTATTTAATCTATTTTCTAGATACCTTGTATTAGATGAAGCCGATAGAATGTTAGATATGGGATTTGAACCACAAATTCGTCGTATCGTCCTCGAGGACGAGATGCCCACAGTTACAGAAAGGCAGACATTAATGTTTTCGGCTACATTTCCTAAAAAAGTTCAGGTAAGCTAAATACATGGAATAAGTTCTACAAAATATTTTGAAAAATAAACTGTTTCTGCAGTCTGAAAAATTTACCATTTGTTTTTTATTTTAATATCCAAAAATATAAAATTACTTTATTTCTGTTGTTACTAATACCACAAAACAGGATGAGATAATTTTGTTTTTAAGAATGAGTGTAAAGTTTAGAAAAAGCAGATCATCTTTAATGAAATATAATTGCTAGCTTTTGTGAATAAAAAATGTATTTACATTCATATATAATTTGTATGTAAATAGAATCCAATTATTTTAATCACTTTGGGATTTGCCTATCTTGATAAAAGCATCTTTATAATGATATTAAGCAGAGTAAGTAAATAAGATAATGGTTAATGGACTTCTCTAGTTTTATTGATTCTGGTATTAAAAGGCCAAACTAAAATAATTGAAAGATGTAAAACTTGAAGATTTATTCAGCATATAATTGAAGTAAGCATGAAAACAATTTAAACTACTATACTACAAACAAATGATGATTAAAATTGTTAATATTTAAAGCACTTAATACTGATAGCATGAAGTTATTATCAATTAATAGCGAGGTTGAGGCTGAAGTTTTAAACGCAAAAACATGTACGTCGGATGTTCAGCACCACTTTCCTGTAAGCCTAGAAGTTTGACAATGGTGTTTGGATAGTGAGTGGAATCATGCTCAACATTCCAAACACCATTGTCAAACTCTAGGTGTGAGATCTGGAATTTTATTAATCTAAAAATTTAATAATTTTACTTCTGTTATATAACGGATTGGCTAAAAAATGATCTTAGCTGGGAACATTTGAAACTGTCCTCTCATAACTATCAACATTCTATTGTTCCCACACAGCCTGCAGCTCGACTTGCACAAAAGTTTATAGTTAGCATCCAAATTTCATCACTTGTTTTGGTCCCAGGAACATCTATAACATTTATCTCCTATAACAACTGATCACATGACCAATTTTCCCAGAAAAAAGCTATAAAAGATGCTTCCTTCCCCTCTTGAGGGAGTCTCTTCACGAAAGCTGGACTGACGTCATCGGATACCGTCGAGTTGAATCTCCAAACCCGCCATAAATTCCAAACCTTGAACATCGAAAAGTCCATCACCTCAGTTGCGAACTTTTATACTTATGCCTATTTGGATTACCCTAAAACCCATATGTTGGATATCTGTGTGCCCTTAATGAACTTAATCGTTGTGGAAACATACAAAATGGTATGAAAACCCATGTAAACTCTCTTGAGCCTTTAGGCATGTTTAGCATCGAGAATAGTGTTTGTAGTTTTTATTGATCTTGTCTAAGTTGAATAAACTTGTTTTATTTGTTAAATAGTATACTCCTTTACTCGTATACTGCCTATGCCTTATCATTGACCCCGATTACTCTCCCTCCACTCGACCAACATAGAGCAGAAGTTCTGACCCTTAGGACCAACTATCATAACGTAGCCATCTTGACAAGTTACTGGAAAGGGAAGTGCAACTGTCCCCGACCTCCCTGGCAGTTCACATAAGCTTACAGGAAAGCGGTGCTAAACGTCCGACATACATGTTTTTGCGTTTAAAACTTTGGCCTCGCCCTCGCTATTGTTATAAGCCACACATTCAAGTTTGTGCAAAAGAATAACTTGAAAATAGCAATGTATGTGAGAACTATAAATGAAAGTCTGATTACAAATAAGCAACATTATAAATTATTTTACTTTGTATTTTGTGACTTGTTAATTTTGATTAAGTTAAATGGCAACTGATGATAACTATGATTATTATAAGCAGACTCTATTGTATATGAATTCATATATAATTATTTATTTTTATTCTTTAATTAAATACGTTACAATAAATAGTGTACGATCATTGCAAAATCTTTGCTTTGTTGTAAATACACTGCTGGCCAAGTAAAATGCAATGCTATTTAGGACTAGATATTGCAGGTGTTGCATTTTGCTTGGCCAGCAGTATATAATATATCTAATAATAATGGTAAATCACAATTAGAATACTTGTACTTAATTATAAAAAAAATTGTTTATATTCAGAGACCATCAACAAAAATCAAATTTTATAGCTTTGGATATAAAACTCTAATTTAATCGTTTATTTTAGGAACTGGCTCGTAAATTCTTGGATAATTACATCTTTTTAGCAGTTGGAAGAGTAGGTAGTACATCAGAAAATATTACACAGAAAGTTGTTTGGGTGGAAGAACATGATAAGAGATCATTTTTACTGGATTTGTTAAATGCTGCTGGACTGAAAAATGGCAATCCAGGTATTTTAAATTTAAAATAAAGTTATTAAAATTTTTAAAATTGTGCTTTTATATAATAAAAATGTTTTTTTTTAGCTCGTGATTCCTTGACTTTAACATTTGTTGAGACTAAAAAAGGAGCAGATGCTCTTGAAAACTTTCTTCTGAAAGAAGGCTATCCAGTAACTAGTATTCATGGAGATCGTAGCCAGCGAGAAAGAGAAGATGCTCTGTGGTCTTTTCGCACAGGACATACACCGGTTCTTGTAGCTACAGCAGTAAGTTTATAAAATTTAAAGAAATAATCTTTAAAAATATTGCTATATTCTTCAAATAAAATATTTTAAGACATACATTATATAATGACATGTTACAAGGTTATACTGCATTATGGATGATGATGTAGATTTCTTTTATTTCCTGCCAAACATGCATTTTTATTTCATTTAACATAGTTTGTTTTGCAAATAACATAGTAGCTTTCACACACATTTGTCAAATGATGTATACTTTGTTATATTGTATGGGTTTGCACTTGGCTTTAACATGGTGTATCTGTTATGGACAAAGTGATTGATACGGGCATTACGAATAATGACCAACAAAATCAGGCATTGTAATAAATTTCAATAATTTATGAAATTGACTGGTCGTTATGAATACTGCTACCACCTAGTCGGACAAAGTGATGATGATATGTTGAGTGATCATTTGACATACATTAGCCAATCAAAATTTGCATCTTACTAAATGCGTATTGCATTTAGTACCAAATTTTAAATTTATGTGACCAGTAGTTAATCTTTCTTCTTTGATAAAAGTAACGATCATGGAGGAATCATTAAGTGATGTGAATAATCGCTTCAATAACCGATTGAACGAGTTAATAGCAGAAAAAGGTGAGAACAATCAAATTTTTACAAAATCAGCATATTTGTCAATGATACAAAAAGTGAAAGAGTCAAAAATGAAAGTTTCTTCTAAGTCACCGGAAGAATATCAGCGTTTACGTAGATATGATGTTGTATCTATCGGAAATTTAGAAAAATTAATTATGCCTGTAAAATAAGGTAATGCGATTAAATATTACGTTCACACGGAAGAAATATTTCAGTTATTGCACAATGCCCATATTGCTATTGGACATGGTGGTAGAAACCATATGTAAAAAGAATTAAGTACAAAATATAAAAATATTACAAGGGAGATGATTATAATTTATTTGAACTTGTGTGAAATCTGTCAGAAATAAAAAATGTTCCTAAGAAAGGCTTGGTAGTTAAATCAGTTTTATGTAATAAAATGAACTCGAGATGTCAGGTCGATCTTATAGGTATGCAGTCGCAAGCCAATGAGGAATATAAATTTATACTCGTGTATCAAGACCATCTAACTAAATTCGTTCAACTACGACCATTAAAAACCAAAATGGCTGAAGAAGTAGCATATGTTCTTTTAGACATTTTTACAATTTTCGGTGCACTGAGTATTCTACAAAGCAATAATCGCAGAGAATTCGCCAATAATATCATCAAAGAAATATGTAATTTGTGGTCTGAGTTAAAAATGGTGCATGGAAAGCCCAGGCACTCACAAAGTCAGGGTTCAGTAGAAAGATGTAATCAAGACGTAGAAAATTATTATATTCCAAAGTATTATATTCCAGGAACCAATTTACTGTTTGTAAAGAAAACTTCATTTCTGTTGGAGATGTACCAGGTGCAGAAATTTCGATTAGATAATGTGCAAGAATGTCATCAATTTCTAGAGGCTAAGGCTATACTTGATGCTGCTGCAAAATTGGTTGCAAATCTAATAGATGCAAATGCTACAAAAAAAAAATTATGTAGTTCCAAATGTCATGAAAATCTTAATTGCTCAAATAAATAAACTAAAAACATTTAATTTTTTATATAACTTGTACAAAAAGTTGTTAATAATACTTTTCGTTAATATTAGTTTAATTAATCTAGTTAATTTAATAGTACAGTAGAGTGTCAAATTCGGCCTAATGTGGTCCGAAGGGTGGCCGAGTTTGTGAAAATGCCAGGTTATCGGGAATGGAGTTAAAAAAAATAAGTATGAGTGTTTCCTCAGAAAATACTGTATTGTACTGTACTTGTATGTATTGTTTACTTGAGAATACAACAGAGAATAAACTGCCCAAATACCCTTAAACAAAGGAAAAGTACATCCTTTATGAAGGCATAGAGCCTTTACTACATGAAAATGAAAATTAATGAATACACTGTGTACAGTAATTTACCTGATAAGACAGACCTCAGAAAAATACTTTATGNTTCACATAAGCTTACAGGAAAGCGGTGCTAAACGTCCGACATACATGTTTTTGCGTTTAAAACTTTGGCCTCGCCCTCGCTATTGTTATAAGCCACACATTCAAGTTTGTGCAAAAGAATAACTTGAAAATAGCAATGTATGTGAGAACTATAAATGAAAGTCTGATTACAAATAAGCAACATTATAAATTATTTTACTTTGTATTTTGTGACTTGTTAATTTTGATTAAGTTAAATGGCAACTGATGATAACTATGATTATTATAAGCAGACTCTATTGTATATGAATTCATATATAATTATTTATTTTTATTCTTTAATTAAATACGTTACAATAAATAGTGTACGATCATTGCAAAATCTTTGCTTTGTTGTAAATACACTGCTGGCCAAGTAAAATGCAATGCTATTTAGGACTAGATATTGCAGGTGTTGCATTTTGCTTGGCCAGCAGTATATAATATATCTAATAATAATGGTAAATCACAATTAGAATACTTGTACTTAATTATAAAAAAAATTGTTTATATTCAGAGACCATCAACAAAAATCAAATTTTATAGCTTTGGATATAAAACTCTAATTTAATCGTTTATTTTAGGAACTGGCTCGTAAATTCTTGGATAATTACATCTTTTTAGCAGTTGGAAGAGTAGGTAGTACATCAGAAAATATTACACAGAAAGTTGTTTGGGTGGAAGAACATGATAAGAGATCATTTTTACTGGATTTGTTAAATGCTGCTGGACTGAAAAATGGCAATCCAGGTATTTTAAATTTAAAATAAAGTTATTAAAATTTTTAAAATTGTGCTTTTATATAATAAAAATGTTTTTTTTTAGCTCGTGATTCTTTGACTTTAACATTTGTTGAGACTAAAAAAGGAGCAGATGCTCTTGAAAACTTTCTTCTGAAAGAAGGCTATCCAGTAACTAGTATTCATGGAGATCGTAGCCAGCGAGAAAGAGAAGATGCTCTGTGGTCTTTTCGCACAGGACATACACCGGTTCTTGTAGCTACAGCAGTAAGTTTATAAAATTTAAAGAAATAATCTTTAAAAATATTGCTATATTCTTCAAATAAAATATTTTAAGACATACATTATATAATGACATGTTACAAGGTTATACTGCATTATGGATGATGATGTAGATTTCTTTTATTTCCTGCCAAACATGCATTTTTATTTCATTTAACATAGTTTGTTTTGCAAATAACATAGTAGCTTTCACACACATTTGTCAAATGATGTATACTTTGTTATATTGTATGGGTTTGCACTTGGCTTTAACATGGTGTATCTGTTATGGACAAAGTGATTGATACGGGCATTACGAATAATGACCAACAAAATCAGGCATTGTAATAAATTTCAATAATTTATGAAATTGACTGACAGATTTAATTTTTAGTATCTGAAATTCACCTATTTATGAAAATATAAAATACTACTATATGAATATTTTATTTATAATAAAGTGTTTATAATTATGTGAAAAATATTAAAATTGACATTTGTAATTTCATTAGTTTTAAGATTGTTATTGAAATCTTAAATGAAACTACTGTATATACTTATTGATAATTTATTTAATCTATTTTCTAGATACCTTGTATTAGATGAAGCCGATAGAATGTTAGATATGGGATTTGAACCACAAATTCGTCGTATCGTCCTCGAGGACGAGATGCCCACAGTTACAGAAAGGCAGACATTAATGTTTTCGGCTACATTTCCTAAAAAAGTTCAGGTAAGCTAAATACATGGAATAAGTTCTACAAAATATTTTGAAAAATAAACTGTGTTTCTGCAGTCTGAAAAATTTACCATTTGTTTTTTATTTTAATATCCAAAAATATAAAATTACTTTATTTCTGTTGTTACTAATACCACAAAACAGGATGAGATAATTTTGTTTTTAAGAATGAGTGTAAAGTTTAGAAAAAGCAGATCATCTTTAATGAAATATAATTGCTAGCTTTTGTGAATAAAAAATGTATTTACATTCATATGTAATTTGTATGTAAATAGAATCCAATTATTTTAATCACTTTGGGATTTGCCTATCTTGATAAAAGCATCTTTATAATGATATTAAGCAGAGTAAGTAAATAAGATAATGGTTAATGGACTTCTCTAGTTTTATTGATTCTGGTATTAAAAGGCCAAACTAAAATAATTGAAAGATGTAAAACTTGAAGATTTATTCAGCATATAATTGAAGTAAGCATGAAAACAATTTATACTACTATACTACAAACAAATGATGATTAAAATTGTTAATATTTAAAGCACTTAATACTGATAGCATGAAGTTATTATCAATTAATAGCGAGGTTGAGGCTGAAGTTTTAAACGCAAAAACATGTACGTCGGATGTTCAGCACCACTTTCCTGTAAGCCTAGAAGTTTGACAATGGTGTTTGGATAGTGAGTGGAATCATGCTCAACATTCCAAACACCATTGTCAAACTCTAGGTGTGAGATCTGGAATTTTATTAATCTAAAAATTTAATAATTTTACTTCTGTTATATAACGGATTGGCTAAAAAATGATCTTAGCTGGGAACATTTGAAACTGTCCTCTCATAACTATCAACATTCTATTGTTCCCACACAGCCTGCAGCTCGACTTGCACAAAAGTTTATAGTTAGCATCCAAATTTCATCACTTGTTTTGGTCCCAGGAACATCTATAACATTTATCTCCTATAACAACTGATCACATGACCAATTTTCCCAGAAAAAAGCTATAAAAGATGCTTCCTTCCCCTCTTGAGGGAGTCTCTTCACGAAAGCTGGACTGACGTCATCGGATACCGTCGAGTTGAATCTCCAAACCCGCCATAAATTCCAAACCTTGAACATCGAAAAGTCCATCACCTCAGTTGCGAACTTTTATACTTGTGCCTATTTGGATTACCCTAAAACCCATATGTTGGATATCTGTGTGCCCTTAATGAACTTAATCGTTGTGGAAACATACAAAATGGTATGAAAACCCATGTAAACTCTCTTGAGCCTTTAGGCATGTTTAGCATCGAGAATAGTGTTTGTAGTTTTTATTGATCTTGTCTAAGTTGAATAAACTTGTTTTATTTGTTAAATAGTATACTCCTTTACTCGTATACTGCCTATGCCTTATCATTGACCCCGATTACTCTCCCTCCACTCGACCAACATAGAGCAGAAGTTCTGACCCTTAGGACCAACTATCATAACGTAGCCATCTTGACAAGTTACTGGAAAGGGAAGTGCAACTGTCCCCGACCTCCCTGGCAGTTCACATAAGCTTACAGGAAAGCGGTGCTAAACGTCCGACATACATGTTTTTGCGTTTAAAACTTTGGCCTCGCCCTCGCTATTGTTATAAGCCACACATTCAAGTTTGTGCAAAAGAATAACTTGAAAATAGCAATGTATGTGAGAACTATAAATGAAAGTCTGATTACAAATAAGCAACATTATAAATTATTTTACTTTGTATTTTGTGACTTGTTAATTTTGATTAAGTTAAATGGCAACTGATGATAACTATGATTATTATAAGCAGACTCTATTGTATATGAATTCATATATAATTATTTATTTTTATTCTTTAATTAAATACGTTACAATAAATAGTGTACGATCATTGCAAAATCTTTGCTTTGTTGTAAATACACTGCTGGCCAAGTAAAATGCAATGCTATTTAGGACTAGATATTGCAGGTGTTGCATTTTGCTTGGCCAGCAGTATATAATATATCTAATAATAATGGTAAATCACAATTAGAATACTTGTACTTAATTATAAAAAAAATTGTTTATATTCAGAGACCATCAACAAAAATCAAATTTTATAGCTTTGGATATAAAACTCTAATTTAATCGTTTATTTTAGGAACTGGCTCGTAAATTCTTGGATAATTACATCTTTTTAGCAGTTGGAAGAGTAGGTAGTACATCAGAAAATATTACACAGAAAGTTGTTTGGGTGGAAGAACATGATAAGAGATCATTTTTACTGGATTTGTTAAATGCTGCTGGACTGAAAAATGGCAATCCAGGTATTTTAAATTTAAAATAAAGTTATTAAAATTTTTAAAATTGTGCTTTTATATAATAAAAATGTTTTTTTTTAGCTCGTGATTCTTTGACTTTAACATTTGTTGAGACTAAAAAAGGAGCAGATGCTCTTGAAAACTTTCTTCTGAAAGAAGGCTATCCAGTAACTAGTATTCATGGAGATCGTAGCCAGCGAGAAAGAGAAGATGCTCTGTGGTCTTTTCGCACAGGACATACACCGGTTCTTGTAGCTACAGCAGTAAGTTTATAAAATTTAAAGAAATAATCTTTAAAAATATTGCTATATTCTTCAAATAAAATATTTTAAGACATACATTATATAATGACATGTTACAAGGTTATACTGCATTATGGATGATGATGTAGATTTCTTTTATTTCCTGCCAAACATGCATTTTTATTTCATTTAACATAGTTTGTTTTGCAAATAACATAGTAGCTTTCACACACATTTGTCAAATGATGTATACTTTGTTATATTGTATGGGTTTGCACTTGGCTTTAACATGGTGTATCTGTTATGGACAAAGTGATTGATACGGGCATTACGAATAATGACCAACAAAATCAGGCATTGTAATAAATTTCAATAATTTATGAAATTGACTGGTCGTTATGAATACTGCTACCACCTAGTCGGACAAAGTGGTGATGATATGTTGAGTGATCATTTGACATACATTAGCCAATCAAAATTTGCATCTTACTAAATGCGTATTGCATTTAGTACCAAATTTTAAATTTATGTGACCAGTAGTTAATCTTTCTTCTTTGATAAAAGTAACGATCATGGAGGAATCATTAAGTGATGTGAATAATCGCTTCAATAACCGATTGAACGAGTTAATAGCAGAAAAAGGTGAGAACAATCAAATTTTTACAAAATCAGCATATTTGTCAATGATACAAAAAGTGAAAGAGTCAAAAATGAAAGTTTCTTCTAAGTCACCGGAAGAATATCAGCGTTTACGTAGATATGATGTTGTATCTATCGGAAATTTAGAAAAATTAATTATGCCTGTAAAATAAGGTAATGCGATTAAATATTACGTTCACACGGAAGAAATATTTCAGTTATTGCACAATGCCCATATTGCTATTGGACATGGTGGTAGAAACCATATGTAAAAAGAATTAAGTACAAAATATAAAAATATTACAAGGGAGATGATTATAATTTATTTGAACTTGTGTGAAATCTGTCAGAAATAAAAAATGTTCCTAAGAAAGGCTTGGTAGTTAAATCAGTTTTATGTAATAAAATGAACTCGAGATGTCAGGTCGATCTTATAGGTATGCAGTCGCAAGCCAATGAGGAATATAAATTTATACTCGTGTATCAAGACCATCTAACTAAATTCGTTCAACTACGACCATTAAAAACCAAAATGGCTGAAGAAGTAGCATATGTTCTTTTAGACATTTTTACAATTTTCGGTGCACTGAGTATTCTACAAAGCAATAATCGCAGAGAATTCGCCAATAATATCATCAAAGAAATATGTAATTTGTGGTCTGAGTTAAAAATGGTGCATGGAAAGCCCAGGCACTCACAAAGTCAGGGTTCAGTAGAAAGATGTAATCAAGACGTAGAAAATTATTATATTCCAAAGTATTATATTCCAGGAACCAATTTACTGTTTGTAAAGAAAACTTCATTTCTGTTGGAGATGTACCAGGTGCAGAAATTTCGATTAGATAATGTGCAAGAATGTCATCAATTTCTAGAGGCTAAGGCTATACTTGATGCTGCTGCAAAATTGGTTGCAAATCTAATAGATGCAAATGCTACAAAAAAAAAATTATGTAGTTCCAAATGTCATGAAAATCTTAATTGCTCAAATAAATAAACTAAAAACATTTAATTTTTTATATAACTTGTACAAAAAGTTGTTAATAATACTTTTCGTTAATATTAGTTTAATTAATATAGTTAATAGTACAGTAGAGTGTCA